GAACAGTGAAATCAGACATGGACACACCGCCATAGTGACATTATTGGGCAGCGCCACTCATCCTGTGAGTGGACACACCACCATAGTAACAGTATTGGGCAGCGGCACTCATCCTGTGAGTGGACACACCGCAATAGTGACAATATTTGGCAGCGCCACTCATCTTGTGAGTGGACACACCGCCATAGTGACAGTATTGGGCAGCGCCACTCATCCTGTGAGTGGACACACCGCCAGTGACAGTATTAGGCAGCGCCACTCATCCTGTGAGTGGACACACCGCCATAGTGACAGTATTGTTCAGCGGCATTCATCCTGTGAGTGAGCACACCGCCATAGTGACAGTATTGGGCAGCGTCACTCATCCTGTAAGTGGATACACCGTTATAGTGACAGTATTCGGCAGCGGCACTCATCCTGTGAGTGGATACACCGCCATAGTGACAGTAATGGGCAGCGGCACTCATCTTGTGAGTGGACACACCCCCATAGTGAGAGTATGGGGCAGCGTCACTCATCCTGTGAGTGGACACACCGCAATAGTGACAGTATTGGGCAGCGGCACTCATCCTGTGAGTGGACACACCGCCATAGTGACAGTATTGGGCAGCGCCACTCATCCTGTGTGGACACACCGCCATAGTGACAGTATTGCGCAGCGTCACTCATCCTGTGAGTGGATACACCGCCATAGTGACAGTATAGGGCAGAGGCACTCATCCTGTGAGTGAACACACCGCCAGTGACAGTATTGGGCAGCGCCACTCATCCTGTGAGTGAGCACACCGCCATTGTGACAGTATTGGGCAGCGGCACTCAACCTGTGAGTGGACACACCGCCATTGTGACAGTATTGGGCAGCGTCACTCATCCTGTGAGTGACCACACCGCCAAGGTGAGAGTATGGGGCAGCGTCACTCATCCTGTGAGTGGACACACCGCCACTCATCCTGTGAGTGGACACACCGCCACTCATCCTGTGAGTGGACACACCGCCATAGTGACAGTATTGCGCAGCGTCACTCATCCTGTGAGTGGACACACCGCCATAGTGACAGTATTGGACAGCGTCACTCATCATGTGAGTGACCACACCGCCATAGTGACAGTATTGGGCAGCGTCACTCATCCTGTGAGTGGACACACCACCATAGTGACAGTATTGGGCAGCGTCACTCATCTTGTGAGTAGACACACCGCCATAGTGACAGTATTGGGCAGCGCCACTCATCCTGTGAGTGGACACACCGCCATAGTGACAGTATTGGGCAGCGTCACTCATCCTGTGAGTGAACACACCGCCATAGTGACAGTATTGGGCAGCGCCACTCATCCTGTGAGTGGACACACCGTCATAGTGACAGTATTGGGCAGCGCCACTCATCCTGTGAGTGGACACACCACCATAGTGACAGTATTGGGCAGCGCCACTCATCTTGTGAGTGGACACACCGCCATAGTGACAGTATTGGGCAGCGCCACTCATCCTGTGAGTGGACACACCGCCATAGTGACAGTATTGGGCAGCGCCACTCATCCTGTGTGTGGACACACCACCATAGTGACAGTATTGGACAGCGCCACTCATCCTGTGAGTGGACACACCACTATAGTGACAGTATTGGGCAGCGCCACTCATCTTGTGATTGGACACACCACCATAGTGACAGTATTGGGCAGCGCCACTCATCCTGTGAGTGGACACACCGTCATAATGACAGTATTGGGCAGCGCCACTCATCCTGTGAGTGGACACACCGCCATAGTGACAGTATTGGGCAGCGCCACTCATCCTGTGAGTGGACACACCGCCATAGTGACAGTATTTGGCAGCGCCACTCATCCTGTGAGTGGACACACCGCCATAGTGACAGTATTGGGCAGCGCCACTCATCCTGTGAGTGGACACACCGCCATAGTGACAGTATTGGGCAGCGCCACTCATCCTGTGAGTGGACACACCGCCATAGTGACAGTATTGGGCAGCGCCACTCATCCTGTGTGTGGACACACCACCATAGTGACAGTATTGGACAGCGCCACTCATCCTGTGAGTGGACACACCACTATAGTGACAGTATTGGGCAGCGCCACTCATCTTGTGATTGGACACACCACCATAGTGACAGTATTGGGCAGCGCCACTCATCCTGTGAGTGGACACACCGTCATAGTGACAGTATTGGGCAGCGCCACTCATCCTGTGAGTGGACACACCGCCATAGTGACAGTATTGGGCAGCGCCACTCATCCTGTGAGTGGACACACCGCCATAGTGACAGTATTTGGCAGCGCCACTCATCCTGTGAGTGGACACACCGCCATAGTGACAGTATTGGGCAGCGCCACTCATCCTGTGAGTGGACACACCGCCATAGTGACAGTATTGGGCAGCGCCACTCATCCTGTGAGTGGACACACCGCCATAGTGACAGTATTGGGCAGCGCCACTCATCCTGTGAGTGGACACACCGCCATAGTGACAGTATTGGGCAGCGCCACTCATCCTGTGAGTGGACACACCGCCATAGTGACAGTATTGGGCAGCGCCACTCATCCTGTGAGTGGACACACCGCCATAGCAGCATGTACAACACTCCCCAATAGGAAGAAAACCCGCTGGGTTGTTCATCCTGTCACTCGTACCCAGACACAGCTGGGACTGGCTCAACTGTGTACACAATCCTCAACGGTGTAGTGATAGAGTTGTTTATGACTGACACGTTTAGTACGACCTTGTTGACCCTTACGTGACCTTCACCTCCGCCACAGGCAGCGGCGGGGAGACACCTGTGGTCACATATCTGCCCCCACCCCCAACACACACACACGACTAACTCACATGTTACACAGTGACCCCAACACCTTGCTGCACCGCGCTGTGAGATGGGCGTGGGGCCCCGCGCCCACCGCCTCCTTCTCAGTGATCTTGCCGCCGACGTTTCCTTGGGTAAAATTCCGTTCTTCTCGCGCCATTGATGTCGTTTGTCTCACGTCTTTCTCCCCTCGTTTTGACGTCCTGAACATCCACGAACTCTTGGGGTAAATAATAGTCAAGGAAATGCAACTATCAGGGGGGAAAGCGCCAAGCCATTATGACTATGTAGCACTGGGAAGGGGTCAGGATAAGGATTTGGGATGGGACGGGGGGGGAAGGAATGGTGCCCAACCACTTGTGGACGGTCGGGGATTGAACGCCGACCTACATGAATCGAGACCGTCGCTCAACCGTCCAGCCCAAGTGGTTGGGCTATTTACCAGAAGGCCGCCGTAAATACGGCGTTTCGAGTGGGGACAGAAAGCCGCCAAATTATCAAAGGTCGGACATTGATCTTGATTTTTCCACTATAGATTCTCAACAGCAGTAATGTCTAAGCATTTAGGGCCTCGGCGAATAGGCAGTTCCATGGGTTAGTAACCCCGTGGGTGAAGAGCATCTCCTGCCAGTTTTCTGGCCGACAGTGTGGCTTGTTGAGCTTGGAACTGTTAGGCCATGTTTGTGTTATATCTGACCTTTACAGATGTGCTCAGGATCAATATACACAAAGTTGTTCAGTATTGTCAAAAGTTTCGATGAGGTCGGCCTTGTCATGTGTGCCTTGTAGTGTTGTTAGCCCCGAGGCCCTCAACCGTTCCTGGTCTGGGATTCGACTTGGTTCTGGGATTATTACGCCGAAGCCAAAGATGACGACAAACCTGGCTACCAACCAGACTGTGACTGCACAACCGTGGCAGGCAGCAGCAAGCAGGCACAGGTGTGTAGTGGTAGCCATACAACCCTTTGCCTCACCAAGTCACTTTACTTTCTCTGTTATGGTCAGAGACGGGACTTGCCGGGGTCTAATGGCGCCCCTAGATAATCTAGAACAGGTGTGTGTGTGAGAGAGAGAGAGAGAGAGAGAGAGAGAGAGAGAGAGAGAGAGAGAGAGAGAGAGAGAGAGAGAGAGAGAGAGAGAGAGAGAGAGAGAGAGAGAGAGAGAGAGAGGAGAGAGATGGGGTGAGAGAGAGAGAGAGAGAGTCAGAGAGAGAGAGAGAGAGAGAGAGAGAGAGAGAGAGAGAGAGAGAGAGAGAGAGAGAGAGAGAGAGAGAGAGAGAGAGAGAGAGAGAGAGAGAGAGAGAGAGAGAGAGAGAGAGAGAGAGAGAGAGAGAGAGAGAGAGAGAGAGAGAGAGAGAGAGAGAGAGGGAGAGAGGGAGACACTGATCATATCAGAGAAGTATAAACGTTGTACTGTTGAAGTGAATGATGTTTTCAAGCTATGAACAAATTAATAAGAATAGCAAAATAAACATGACAAACATTTTCTGGTCAGGGGGAAAAAGACACAGGCAGTCTGGGGCTTAAATTTATTAGTAAATTAAATTCTGCAGAACATGTAAATAATATAAGTAGGAATTAACAAATGTAACATGTCCATGTCTGAGGACTAATTAACTTAAAATGTACCCCCGTAGTAGTAAGCATAGCCTAGACATGGCAAACACGTTCTGCAGAAACCTAATGGCAGATGAAATATAATTAGAACTAGGTATAACAGTCAGGACACAAAGGGAAAATAAAGTGTATAGACACAACACTTAACGGAGCCCGACCAAGACATAATGGGGAATCCTAGAATTAACAGGCGGGCAGAAAATACCTAGTGACTGGGGAAAACTGATATGACAAATGGGAGAAGTTTTTCCCAGGGCGTGAGGCCGGCCGCTAAGGAATAAGAAGTGTTTCCTGACTCTTATTAGCACCTAGACTGGGCAAAGGATTAGCTGCGGACAGCGGGACACCTGGGGACCGGCGCTGCACCCCCACCGCAGGCCAGCTGGCCGATTTACATGTGCTGCTTCAGCATCCATCTCATTTGTGCAGCATTCCTCATTCATCTCTCCAGCATCCCCTCACTCTTGAGCATCCGTCACTCATCTCTCCAGCATCCCTCACCCCCCCCCCCCCGGCCCCTCACTAACACCTGGTGGTGCCTCACTAACACGTGGTGGTGGTCCTACAGGAGGGGTGGTCGACGATGAAGGTGGTGGTGCTGCTGGTGGTGTGTTGTGCTCTCCTCGCCCCGCCCGCCGCTGCCAGACCCCCTTACAGGTACGGTGCTGCTCCTGCTGGTAGTGGTGGTTACAGTAGTGGTGGTGACAGTAGTGGTGGTGACAGTAGTGGTGGTGACAGTAGTGGTGGTGGTAGTGGTGGTTACAGTAGTGGTGGTGGTAGTGATGGTTACAGTAGTGGTGGTGGTAGTGGTGGTTACAGTAGTGGTGGTGACAGTGGTGGTGGTGATAGTTACAGTGGTGGTGGTTACAGCAGTGGTGGTCATTACAGACAGAAGCGTGTGAGTGACCAGCGGCTGGCGGAGCTGGAGACACTGCTGGCGCTGGCCAAGATGAAGAACAGGAAGTATGTCACTCTACCTGTTGGCTTTGGTCTCATTGACGTCAAGCAGATGTGAGTACTCTTCCCCCCTCCCATGTACCTCCTCACACCCCCCCCCTCCCATGTACCTCCTCACCCCCCCCTCCCATGTACCTCCTCACCCCCCCCCCTCCCATGTACCTCCTCACCCCCCCATGCACCTGAACCCCTCACTCCCCATTTCACATATCCCCAGAACACCTTCCAGAGATCAAAATGCCTTTATTGCTTTCCGTTCTGTAGCTTGAGTGGGTCCGTAGATGCTGGTAATGGCTTCTTGAAATTAATAGCTTTAATATCGTGCTCTCATTAGCCAACATGCCCCCCCCCCCCCCGTCCTCCCCACCCTACCCCCGCCCCTGTAGTGAAAGTCATATGGCCCACAGACACTGGCAATTGTTGACTTTACCCAGAAACAGCATTAATATATGTATGCTGTAAGGTTTAATGTCTTGGGTGTATAGGTATATTGTGTGTGTTTATGTAGTGGGCTTATGGGTGCCTCCTTTCCATGTGTGGATACATGTGATTTTCCTGTCGCCTTGCCTCGGAGTAGGACAGTTAGTAGGTTAGGCTGGTGACTGTCCTGGTCCTGGCTGGGGACTCCCAGAGTCCTAACTGGGTACTGTTTTTGCCTCAGAGTAGGACAGTCAGCAGCTTAGTACTGTCCTGGACCTGATTGGTGACTAATCGTTGTGTTGTTACAGTGGCCGCCGTAAGAGGGCCACTTCTGCTGCCATAGGTACCCCCAGGATGATGGCACAAAGTCTTGATGAGTACGACTTAAGTGACCTCATCACCGAGCTCTCGAGTTCCCTCAGTGCTGAAGCCCTGAGGAACGATCGTTCCTTGGAGGAGAGCAATTACCAGGCAGAGGACGCCAACCTCGAGGAGGAGGAGCTCAAGGAAGACAGGAAGGAGGGGCTTCTGCAGCAAGGGCTCCGGGAAGCTCCACCCACCATCCTCTTCGGCATGAGGGGCGTTCCTCGCCACAGGTTTATCTAGGTTAGTATTACATTTGTTGAGAGGTTAGTTACATATATATATATAGTCTTCTGTGTTGGCATCGTTATGTGCTGGTCTTGTCCTTACTCTCATGGTGGGGAGAGTAAATAGTTCCGTGATTTGGGTGTTCATGGTTGGTTGTTTCTTGAAGCAATTCACATAAGAATAGAACAACCTACCATGAACACCCAAATCACGGAACTATTTACTCTACCCAGCATGAGAGTAAGGACAAGACCAGCACATAACGATGCCAACACAGAATATATATATATATTATATGTGAGAAAGCTGCATGAACGCGCAAGCCATATATCACTAAGAACTCTTTGACCCGGCCAGGATTCGAACCCATGCCGTCCAGGATCACCCCTAAACGTACACAGTACCGTGACCACCGCACCAATGATCGTCTTTGGTGCGGTGGTCACGGTACTGTGTACGTTTAGGGGTGATCCTGGACGGCATGGGTTCGAATCCTGACCGGGTCAAAGAGTTCTTAGTGATATATATAATGTAGGCACCAGAAGTACCACCTCTGGTGCAATTGTAAGGACCCACATCCTCGAAGAAGAAAATAAAGAGTATTTAGAGAAGACCTTGTGGATTCTCACTGAACACTTTAATCTTTTCTTCTCCTACCACCCCTATTATTTTTTTATATATTTTGTTTTATTTTATTGCAATGCTACAGTTTACAGAGAACACACACACATATAACAATCGATGTTCGAAGACCTCGTCCAGCTCCTCGGGGGTCGGGTGCGTACCCAGGATACAGCACGCATTTCCCCTCTGAACTGCGACACTGAGGCGCTGGAACAGGAAACTGGCCACGCGTGAGTCTTTTGTTTTCCCAATGAGTTCCTCACCCACCTCCTTTAAGAATCTAAGTGCACATTTACCCCCAGGCACCCAGTCTCTCGGAGCCTGTTGGCACGAACCTGTAACAACGTTTTAGGTCTCTGTACTTGTTGGTTTTCTGGGTCTCCCTGAAGGTGGCTGCCCCGCCTCGCTCAGCTGTGCTGTAAGGTAGATAGGTATTAGCCAATGTAGATGCACACGTGTAGTCCCACACGACCTGTTTACCTTCCCTCCATGGCTGCACGGTGACTCCATCTGGGCGTTTGTGACTATTGTCAGGTCTGCACAACCGAGGTTCCCTTTGTGCTGGACACCCAGCTGTAGCCAAACTTCTCTTGATGTCATCATTGACTGCTTCGTGTCTGGCAATCTTTCCCTGTGTCTTACGACAGATGAGACCATGGCTGCCGTATTGGTCCGCCTGTGCATAGCCACAAATACACCGGTGTTCAGTGGAGATAGGGGCGGTGTATATATATATATAATGTCGTACCTAATAGCCAGAACACACTTCTCAGCCTACTATGCAAGGCCCGATTTGCCTAATAGGTCGAGTGATTTTCTTTAGTTTTCACAAAAAGTTTCTAATTGGTTTATTTGAATTATTATATTATATTAATAACATAAATAATTGACTTAGTTATGTTAGTTTAGGTTAGGTTAAGATAGGATAGGTTAGGTTAGGTTAGGTAGGGTTGTTAGGTTAGGTTAGGTTAGGTAGGGTTGTTAGGTTAGGTTAAGTTAGGTAGGGTTGTTAGGTTAGGTTAAGATAGGATAGGTTAGGTTAGGTAGGGTTGTTAGGTTAGGTTAGGTTAAGATAGGTTAGGTTAAGATAGGATAGGTTAGGTTAGGTTAAGATAGGTTAGGTTAAGATAGGATAGGTTAGGTTAGGTTAGGTAGGGTTGTTAGGTTAGGTTAGGTTAAGATAGGATAGGTTAGGTAGGGTTGTTAGGTTAGGTTAGGTAGGGTTGTTAGGTTAGGTTAGGTTAGGTTAGGTAGGGTTGTTAGGTTAGGTTAGGTTAGGTTAGGTTAGGTTAGGTTAGGTAGGGTTGTTAGGTTAGGTTAGGTTAGGTAGGGTTGTTAGGTTAGGTTAGGTTAGGTAGGGTTGTTAGGTTAGGTTAGGTTAGGTAGGGTTGTTAGGTTAGGTTAGGTAGGGTTGTTAGGTTAGGTTAGGTTAGGTTAGGTTAGGTAGGGTTGTTAGGTTAGGTTAGGTTAGGTTAGGTTAGGTAGGGTTGTTAGGTTAGGTTAGGTTAGGTTAGGTTAGGTTAGGTTAGGTAGGGTTGTTAGGTTAGGTTAGGTTAGGTTAGGTTAGGTTAGGTTAGGTAGGGTTGTTAGGTTAGGTTAGGTTAGGTAGGGTTGTTAGGTTAGGTTAGGTTAGGTAGGGTTGTTAGGTTAGGTTAGGTTAGGTTAGGTAGGGTTGTTAGGTTAGGTTAGGTTAGGTTAGGTAGGGTTGTTAGGTTCGGTTAGGTTAAGATAGGTTAGGTTAGGTAGGGTTGTTAGGTTCGGTCATATATCTACGTTAGTGTTAACTCAAATAAAAAAATATTAACTCATAAATAAATAAATGGATAACTTTATCATTACATAAGAAAAAAATTTGAAAATATATAAATTCAGGAAAACTTGGCTTATTAGGCAAATCAAGCCTTGCATAGTAGGCCGAGTACTGCATTCTGGCTACTAGGTACAACATACATATATATATCTGACAATGTAGTGTGTGTCTAACACCGTAGCCTCTCCTCCCATTGGAACTGTAATTTCTATCCCCCCTTTTCTCGGGCATGGTACAATAATGCCTTTTTCGGGCATGGTACAATAATGCTTTTCTCGGGCATGGTACAATAATGCCTTTCTCGGGCATGGTACAATAATGCCTTTCTCGGGCATGGTACAATAATGCCTTTCTCGGGCATGGTACAATAATGCCTTTCTCGGGCATGGTACAATAATGCCTTTCTCTAATTCTGTAGTATCTTTTGCTCAGTTAATTTTATATTTGATCATTTATGACTACGACACAATTATAGCGCCTTACATTAACTTTCCTACATTGTTTACCCGAAGTGTAGCCATTTACCATTTATTTATCTAATGCATAAGTACTGTATCATAAAATTTGTAAACATTTGCAGAATTTGTGTCACAAGGGCAGTTGACAATGCTTTACAAAAAACTATTAAGAATACTGTACATTAACAATAAATATTCTCTCTTGCAGATGCTGAGGGAGGCATCACACACACTTAAGATCAGCCAAGATTATATTTATTTCAGCCAGTCAAGAGCTATTCCTTATTTGTTGACTTCAGTGTTATGTTTGTATCAGTCATACTCCTCCAAATCTGCTTTAAAGCGAGATCTACAAAACGCAAAATACAGACATGACTATTTCTTGGACATGTCCGTCAAGTCAGCCACTACCATTGAAAGCTAAACTGCTCAGAGGTTCCAACCACAAAGACTGTGCCAACCTTTGTAATATGTCCATTGTGTCTGATCCAAGAGGAAAAAGGGCAATTGTCTACTTAAGCTATGATCAATAGCTGCCAAAGTTTGTGTACATAGTCAAATTCAGGAGTTCTTTCAATACCAAAGATTTCCATGTAGCTAGAAAATAACAAGATTATATATATATATATATATATATATATATATATATATATATATATATATATATATATATATATATATATATATATATATATATATATATATATATATATATATATATATATATATATATATATATATATATATATATATATATATATCTCAATCACATATATAGTTGCTGTTATTAGCAGGTTGGGTGTTAAATTTCCCATCTTAATATAAGATAAATACAGTAAGATAAATGAGAAAGTTAAGCTACAGTTCTCTTGTACTGTACTATGATGTGTTCTAATCTTTTATAAGAGGATGTGAGTGAGAGCGTGGCCTGGACACACCAGTGTGTGAGTCTACCAGGACACGGCACAGAAGTCGTCGACGCACTGTATACTTGCTGAGGCTGGACGTGTTACCCCTGATATTTATTTACGTTTTCTTTTCAGCCGTCATATTTATATTCCCCTATAGCTTTATACATCTCATTTTCTCTCAAATTTTTGTCGTGGAATACTGTATGCAAGAGAACAATGTAGTCAAATTAAAAATAGTGTAAGTTATATGTATGCATAAAGGATTCAATAAAAGCATTTTGTATTATCAAAATATAGTAAATTGTAATTTCTCAACCATTTATGTTTACAATAAAAGTTTTGTTACTCTTCATTTTGGGTGCTTTGGTAAATTTATTCAAATTGGGAAATTCTGAAACTCCATTTGTAAAGATTACATATATACTGATCTCATTAAAGATTATCTTGAATTTAGAATGATTTAGTTGATTATCCTGTCTTATTAGTTAAGATGTAGTGCCAGCGGGTGTGTGGTGCAGCACCAGTGCGTGTGTGTAATTACCTAAGTGTAGTTACAGGATGAGAGCTACGCTCGTGGTGTCCCGTCTTCCCAGTACTCTTTGTCATATAACGCTTTGAAACTACTGACGGTCTTGGCCTCCACCACCTTCTCACCTAACTTGTTCCAACCGTCTACCACTCTGTTTACAAAAGTGAATTTTCTTATAATGCTCCGGCAGCTTTGTTTCGTTAATTTACATCTATGACCTCTTGTTCTTGAAGTTCCGGGTCTTGGGAATTCTTCCCTATCAATGTTATCGATTCCTGTTACTATTTTGGACGTAGTGATCATATCGCCTCTTTTTCTTCTACTAGTTTTTGCATATTTAATGCCTCTAACTTCTCCTCGTAGCTCTTGTCCTTCAGTTCTGGGAGCCACTTAGTGGCATGTCATTGCACCTTTTCCAGTTTATTGATGTGCTTCTTAAGATATGGGCACCACACAACCGCTGCATATTCCAGCTTTGGTCCAACAAAAGTCGTGAACAATTTCTTTAGTATTTCTCCATCCATGTATTTAAAAACAATTCTGAAGTTAGAAAGTGTAGCATAGGCTCCTTGCACAATGTTCTTAATGTGGTCCTCAGGTGACAGTTTTCTATCTAGAACCACCCCTAGATCCCTGTCTTTGTCAGAATTCTTTAAATATTTCTCACATAATTTATAGTTTGTGTGGGGTCTATGTTCTCCAATTCCACAACATGGCATTTATTCACATTAAATTCCATTTGCAAAGTGTTGCTCCATATACTTATTTTGTCCAGGTCTTCTTGACGGGCATGACAATCATCTAGGTTTCTTATCTTCCCTATTATCTTAACATCATCAGCAAACATGTTCATATAATTCTGTATTCCAACTGGTAGATCGTTTATATAGACAATGAACATTATCGGTGCAAGAACTGAACCCTGTGGTACTCAACTTGTGACATTCCTCCAATCTGATACCTTGCCTCAGATTACAGCCCTCATTTTTCTGTCAGCTAGGAAATTTTTCATCCATGTTAGAAGCTTACCTGTCACCCCTCCAATACGTTCCAGAACAACCTCTTATGGGGAACTATGTCAAAAGCCTTTCTTAGGTCCAGATAGATGCACTCAACCCAACCATCTCTTTTCTGTAAAATCTCTGTGGCTCGATCATAAAAACTAAGTAAGTTCGTTACACAGGATCTTCCAGATTGAAAACCATACTGTCTGTTCACCTTACTGTCACTGTTCACATTTATTCACCTTATCATATCGTTTTTCTCCAGGTGTTCTACCCATTTAGTTTTAATTATTTTTCCAATAGCAGGGGGTCTTCCCTGCTGCCACTTTTGTAGATTGGAACTATGTTAGCCTTTTTCCACACATCAGCTACAACTCCTGTAAACAGGGATGCCTAAAAATCAGTTGAAGTGGAATACTGAGGTCAGGTGCACATTCTCTCAGAACCCATGGTGAAACTCCATCTGAACCATCTGGACTATTTAGCTCCTTGAGCATTTTTTCCACTTCGTCTCTAGACACCTCTATGTGCTCTATGTTGTCCTCTGGAATTCTTATTGTGTCTGGTTCCCTGAAGATTTCATGTTGTACAAACACACTTTGAAACTTTTCATTTAATGTTTCACACATTTCCTTTTCATTTTCCGTGAATCTATTTCCCATTTTCAACCTCTGAATATTATCCTTTACCTGCAATTTGTTGGTTATGAATTTATAGAATAGACCTGGTTCTGTTTTACATTTGTCTGCAATCCCTTTTTCAAAATTTCCTTCTGCCTCTCTCTCCTCACTGCCATGTAGTTGTTTCTCGCATCTTTGTATCGCTGGTATGTTTGGGGGTTTGCAGCACCAGTGCCAGTGGGTGTGTGGTGCAGCACCAGTGCCAGTGGGTGTGTGGTGCAGCACCAGTGCCAGTGGGTGTGTGGTGCAGCACCAGTGCCAGCAGGTGTGTGGTGCAGCACCAGTGCCAGCAGGTGTGTGGTGCAGCACCAGTGCCAGCAGGTGTGTGGTGCAGCACCAGTGCCAGCAGGTGTGTGGTGCAGCACCAGTGCCAGCAGGTGTGTGGTGCAGCACCAGTGCCAGTGGGTGTGTGGTGCAGCACCAGTGCCAGCAGGTGTGTGGTGCAGCACCAGTGCCAGCAGGTGTGTGGTGCAGCACCAGTGCCAGCAGGTGTGTGGTGCAGCACCAGTGCCAGCAGGTGTGTGGTGCAGCACCAGTGCTTCCTTTAGTAGCTCGGGACACATTTTTCAAAGTATGATAAAAATCACATCAATGCAGAAAATGAGTGAAAGAGTCTACTCACCTAAAAGGTAAAAGATTATGTGCTTTGAAGGGAAACCAGTGTTGTGTGTGTGTGTGCATAATTACCTAAGTGTAGTTACAGGATGAGAGCAAGGCTCGTGGTGTCCCGTCTTCCCAGCACTCTTTGTTGTATAACGCTTTGAAATTACTGATGGGTTTGGCCTCCACCACCACCTCACTTATCATGTTCCAACTGTCTGCCACTCTGTTTGCAAAAGAAAACTTTCTAATATTTTTTGGCATCTTTGTTTCCTTAGCTTGAATCTGCATCCTCTAGTTCTTGAAGTTGCTGGTTTCAGGAATTCCTCTTTGTCAATTTGGTCGACTCCAGTTAGTATTTTGTAAGTGATGATCATGTCATCTCTTTTTCTTCTATCTTCTAGAAGGTAGCATGTTTAATGCCTCTAAATATGTGTTTGCCTCTAAACATGCATTAATACATGTTTAGTCTAATAATAGTCTAATACTGTATACCTTTTCTCCAAACTACCTCAACATATAGAAATGTCGATACTCCCACAGGATCCCAAAAACCGTTAATCCCAAAAGTATCCCTTGAATTTAAATAATTTGTGTTATGAATCCAGGATAAAAACATTTTAAAATAAATATTTTTGAGCTTTTGTAAATCATATTGATTCTTAATATCTTCAGTATCACTGGTCGTGGAATAGCATGTGGAAACCTAAGACTATTTCTTGTTCTTCAGAGACTTCGTCTCAATCAAAATTCACAGTTCATTTCCTGATGGATTGTTTAATTAACCAGTAACTGCTCACAATGGTAGTACACTCAGGATTTAAGTCTAAAAACCAGTACTAGTACTGAACTTAATCGATACTGAACAGGAACTGGTGGAGTTTGATATTTATAGAATTTGGCAAAGCTTGATTATTAAAGTGAATCATCTGGACAAACTCCAACAATGTTATTACTTGTGATAAATGAGACCAATATCAACATCTTGCTAGATGATGACCGTAAACAAGAGGTTCCAGGAGGGCTTCAAACCAGAACCATATTGGTGTCCAAGTAAGGGTTGACAATGCTGAACAGTACTGAAGTTTATATACAAGAAATAAAATGGTACCTGGTGGAACAGGAAGTAGTAAATGGAATAGGAGCAGGCCAGATATCACTGTTCCGGACCTTAATGGAATCTGACCCATATATCAATCAGGTCAACCCATGTGTTGCGTTTCCAAAAGGGTCGCCCATGTTAGAATCGGTGAACACCCTAGTAATTGTAACGGTTCTATTGTTACGTAAAATATGTATGGTGACAAAACATAAACCCTTAAAAAGATTCATAGAAAACACCGTAATTGTAACGGTTCTATTGTTACGTAAAGTATGGTGACAAATAAACACAGACACTAAGATACTATATATATATTTGGTCGAATATACAGAAGTACACAGGTGATACTTTGGTGTGAGTTGAGCGCACTGAGCGTCGGTACAGTATCTCGCAAGTGTCTGCTCTAGACCACACTTGAAAGTAGACTAGCCAATGTTCGCTACACCGCTGCTTATATGCTCGGGCAACACCTCACCGTGTTGCCCGGGCAACGCCTCACCTCATTCATCTCCAAAGGTTGACAGGAATATTAACAATGCATTTGGAGCGAGTATATTATTGGGATAATCTACTCGCTACAGAACTCCCCCTCCCAGGGGATGAAAGGAAAAATACTTGATCAAGGAACTTAGCTGGTCGGCGAATTGTACGCCCTGCTCGCGTTACATAACCATCAAAGTTAACTTCCTCCTCTTCGCTGATGTCATCTAACTGGGGTCGTAGGGTGGGAGGTCGCACAGGATCGTCCGTCGTCGCAGGATCAGGTTGTGGTGCGGCTGGTAACTGGGGTTGTAGGGTGGGAGGTCGTACAGGATCGTCCGTTGTCGTAGGTGGCGGTGCTGCTGGTAACTGTGGTCGAAAAGTGAACTGCGTAGTCGGCGGATGTGTCTCTGGAGGGATGTCTGGGGCAGCGTCACAGTGTGCTGGTTTAAGGCGATCGATGGAGATGTTTACCCGCTGTCCTCGGCGTTCAATGGTGAAGAACTTCGGTGTTCGAGAAACCACTTTAAATGGTCCTTCGTAAGGTGACTGTAGAGGGCGTCGAACAGCGTCGACTCTTACAAACACGTGTTCAGTTGTGTGGAGCTCATGAGGCACATATGTAGCACGAGTTGTCGGTTGGCGTGGTGGTGTAGGCCGAATGTTTGTCATGGCCGCCCGTAATTTCTGGACAAAAGTGGGGTCTGGGGGTGTGATAAGTGGCGTTGGGGTTAAGAATTCGCCCGGAAGCCGCAGGCTAGATCCGTATACTAAGTCTGCTGCCGAGAATCCACTGCCCTCCTTCGTGGCCGAACGGATGCCAAGCAAGACTAATGGAAGGTTGTCGATCCAATCATCAGGGCGTGCTTGAGCTCTTAGGGCAGCTTTTAGTTGTCTATGAAAGCGTTCTACCATTCCGTTCGACTCAGGGTGGTATGCTGTGGTTCGGTTATGTGTGGTGCCGAGGAATTCCATAAGTTCCTTCCATAGATATGATTCGAACTGTCGTCCTTGGTCGGTGATGATGACAGAGGGGCTGCCAAAACGGGCGACCCATCCAG